TTTCAATATTAAATTAATCTATTAATTACACTGACTAGTAGACTAATATATGATATATCAAAAGAAACCACTTCTGTATTCTCTACTAGATTTATACTCTGAATTCTGATCCCTGCAGAAGAGCATGTACAATGGAGACAGACCCAGGTTCTTTAAAATCCATAGAGCATCTCTCTCTCTCTCTCTCTCATAGTATAGCGGAAATGCTGTTGTTGTTGTTCAGTCGCACAGTCGAGTCCGACTCTTCGCGACCCCATGGATCATCTCCCGCCAGGCCCTCCTGTCTTCCGCCGTCCTCTGAAGTTGGCTCAATTTCATGTTCGTTGCATCGATGACACTGTCTAACCATCTCATCCTTTGCCGTCCCCGTCTTCTTTGACCTTCAATCTTTCCCAGCATCAGGGTCTTCTCCAGTGAGTGCTCCCTTCTCATTTGGTGGCCAAAGTATTTGAGCTTCAGTTTCATTATCTGGCCTTCCAGGGAACAGTCAGGGTTGATTTCTTTTAGAATTGACTGATTTGATCTTCTTGCAGTCCAAGGGACTCTCAAGAGTCTCCTCCAGCACCATAGTTCAAAAGAATCTATTCTTCGGCGCTCGGCCTTCCTTATAGTCCAACTCTCACAGCCATACATGACTACTGGGAATACCATTGCTTGGACCATGCGTATTTTTGTTGGCAGGGTGATGTCTCTACTTTTTATCATGCTGTTTAGGTTCGCCATCGCTTTCCTCCCAAGGAGCAGGCGTCTTTTAATTTCATGGCTGCAGTCACAGTCTGCGGTGATTTGATGACTAGGGAGCCATGTACCTGATGTTATCTGCAGGTCGTCTTGAAGAAACAGGCTCTGAAGAACTGCTCTTCCAAAAGCAGCATCAGTTTTAGCACAGTGCATCACCACCAGGAACTTCTCAAAGGCTGAAGTCAGTGTGATTCATCCAGGCCAGCATTTCGCATGATGTACTCTGCATATATATTAAATAAGCAAGGTGACAATATACATCCTTGTCGTACTCCTTTTCCTATGCTGAACCAATCAGTTGTTCCATATCCGGTTCTAACTGTCGCTTCTTGGCCCTCATACAGGTTTCTCAAGAGACATGTGAGGTGGTCTGGTACTCCCATCTCTTTAAGGACCTGCCATAGTTTGTTGTGATCCACACAGTCAAAGGCTTTAGCATAGTCAATGAAGCAGAAGTAGATATTTTTCTGGTACTCTCTTGCTTTTTCCATAATCCAGCGAATGTTGGCAATTTGATCTCTAGTTCCTCTACCTCTTCGAAACCCAGCTTGTACTTCTGGTAGTTCTCTATCCACGTACTGTTGAAGCCTAGCTTGTAGGATCTTGAGCATGACCTTGCTAGCGTGTGATATGAGTGCAATTGTGCGATAGTTTGAACATTCCTTGGCATTGCCCTTCTTTGGGATTGGAATGTATACTGACCTTTTCCAATCCTGTGGCCACTGTTGCGTTTTCCAAATTTGCTGGCAAATGGAGTGCAGCACTTTAACAGCATCATCTTCTAAGACTTTGAATAGTTCAGCTGGAATACCATCACCTCCACTAGCTTTGTTGTTACTAATGCTTTCTAAGGCCCATTTAAATACAGAAAGAAAAAAAGGGTTTTATCTAACATTATTATATATATCATATAACCAAGTATAAGAAACAGAAAATATTTCTCCCCAACGCCCCATTTGTTACATGGAAAAGTTTTTGGAGCTTTGTCTATAATGTACAATATTTACTTCTGATGGGGTATATTTACATTCATCATTTCTACATTTCAAATTACATAACTACTCTGTTTTGCAGCTACATTATTAGTTTCATCATTGCTACATTCTCAGTATTACTTTTTTTCTCCTCTTCTGCATACTCGCTATTACTTTTAACAATTAGGCAATATAACAAAAATACAGAAGGAAAGTCTATTATATATCTCACAATAAGAAAAATTTTAAAAAATGATGTTCTCCCCAGGGTCCACTTCCTTACACACATTTATATTCAGGATGTTACATTTAAAACTGATTCTGCTTCACAGAGCCAGCTGTGGTGTAGTGGTTAAGAGCAGCAGACTCTGCCCTAACCTGGATAGCTCAGGCAAGCACAATCATGTCAGATCTCAGAAGCTAAGCAGGGCTGACCCTGGCAAGTAATTGGAAGAGAGACCTCTAAGGAATACCAGGGCTCAGGATGCAGAGGCAAGCTATCAAGTTACCTCTCTGAAAAACGTCCAAGCCTAGGGGTCGCCAGAAGTGGCCATGACTTTCAGGCATACAAGCACACACGGACACACATGTACAAAAATACCACCCCCCAAAGAACAGCAGACTCTAATCTGGAGAACCAAGTTTGATTCGCCAGCCTCCACATGCAGCCAGCTGTGTGACCTTGGGTCAGTCACAGTTCTCTCAGAGCTCTCTCAGCCCCACCTACCTCACAGGGTGCCTGTTGCGGGGAGAGGAAGGGAAGGTGATTGTAAGCTGCTCCGAGACTCCTTCGGGTAGTAAAGAGTGGGATATAAAGGCCATCTTCTTCATTACCATACCTTTTTTTTAATAAAGATTTTATTGACTCCCCTAAAAAGGGGAGGTATTTCGCTTAAAAGAAAAAATGGGAAGGGTAGACAGTGGGAGAAAGAGAAAGCGGAGTGATATATAAACTGGTAAATTAAACTGTTAGTAATGTCCAATTAAACTTCTTGAGCTTCTTCTGTGTGTTGTCAAACTTCTTTTCTTGGTCCGGTCGCATGTAATTCTCTGTTAATATGTTAGTAATGTTCCTTTGAGTTTCTGTTAATAAAAAAAAGTCTCTTCTGGGCGCATTCAGAACCGCTTCTTTGCGTGCTGGGTACTTTTACTATCGCTGACGTGGAGGAGCTTCCTCTGTTATCTTCACCTTCCGGCTTGTTCGGTCGTCCTTCGGGTTGCTGTTAACACTCTCAGTTCATGCACTACAAATCCTCTTCCTTACATGCCATTTCAGGAGGTCCCCGGCTTTGAGAATGGTATTAATTTCATTTCGCTTTTATTAAACCGCCGGCTCTCACACACAAGCAAACGCCCAGACGGAAGTCCCTCCCTTCTTCTCCGCTCGTTTTTACCCAGCTCCGACATCTTTTCTTTTTTGTTTACTTTTAGAAAGTTCTTAAAGTGTGCTCCAGAGAGATAGATTCTCGCTTTGTTTCAAATACATCAAAGGAAAACATCACTATCCGCTCAGTCCATTCCCCCCCCTCTTTTTCTTTTTCGCTTGTACAAGTAGAGGGTTAGCCTCCTCGCCTTTTTCGCTGGGGGGGGGGAAACGTTTTTAGTTCTTTTTCTCTGTATTTTGACAACTCACAGTTAAGCCGATCTTTTCTTTTTCTCTTTTTTTCCGGATGATCGCTTTATCACTCGGTGACGTCTGGTGGCTCTGCTAAACCCCGTGAAACGGGGTCGCTCACGCAGCAAGGTCCGTTGGGGCAGGGCATGGCGGGAGCTTCAATCTCCGACCTCTCGGCCAAAAGAGAGACTCCCCCCTGTAGCGCCCTAAAGCGCCCCGGATCCGAGCTCCTCTCTTCCTGAGGGGCTCATTCGGGTCTCTGCTCGCGCGGATTCCCTCCTCCACCGCGGGCGGGCGAGACGCCCTCGGGAGTGACCCGAGGATGCGTCTGCCATTCGCGGGAGCCAGACCGGAAGCCCCCCTTCATTACCATACCTTTGTATACAGTAATTTAAACGGCTTCTCATTCTAAATTTGTCTCTTGCTTGCATAGTACATACTCCATCTCTTTCCAAATTTCATAATTGACCTGTTTCTCAAATAAGTTGTTAATAAGTTGTTACTCTATATTCAGCAAGTTTATTTTCTCATTCTTCTAAGCATGGACAGATGTCAAGTTTCCATTTTTCTGCATAGATAATTCTAACTGCTGTCACCATGTATTTGAATATCTCTTCCAAAGTTTTTTGTAATTTGTTAGGCAGTATACCTAATAGTATATTCTTGGCTTCCATAGGGAATTTGAATTTTAATATGTTCTGCATTTTCCATGCATTTCCTTCCAATATCTTTTTGCTTTCTTATACATCCACCACATATGAAAAAAGATTCCATTTATGTCTTGACACTTTCAGGATTTTCCTTTGTAGTTTTTATTGCTTTCTCAATATCTTTTGGAGTTATATACCATCTAAAAAGCATTTTATACCAATTTTCTCTTAATTCCTTCCCATAACCATTCCCATTAATGCATAGGTACCTGTTCTTTAAAGTTTTGCATCCATTTAATCACATATTTTTCACTT